AAAAATTTTAGAAAAATGTCTATCCTGGACAAACATTACACATATTCAGTTCTGTCTCAATGAAAAGAATTTAGCTAGATCTTGAATTCAAAACTAGGAACCATTCAGTCCTGTAGTGCTGCTGGGAGCAAGCATTCCCCTTATAGAACCCAAAACAAAATGTTTGAGGTGCACTTAGTAGGTGAAATGAACTGGCTAAAAAACTAAATTCAAGCTCTCACTTGCTTGACAGCATTGAGATTTTAAGCTTCTTTCAAGGTACCTTTAATATCTAGTTGTATCTACAAGTGTTTTTTCCAATCTTACAAACATTTTTGAAAACATCCTTCATTGATTGCTGCTAAATTCCAACTATAAAATAGGAAATACTACTACACTGTAGTTGACTTTTTCTTTTTCCTATCTACACTCTGAACTTAATTCCTCAAGACATGTAAAGATATGCTTAACTTAAAGTAGGTATATGACCTATAAAGGGATTATTTCCACACACCAAAACTAGCAGCCTTCATGTTCATGCTCACAAAATGTATCTGACATTGGCTGTCCATAAAAGCATGTTCTGAAGTATATTACAAGTATGTGTCTGCATGTGTAGCAAGGAAGTAGGGCAGTAACTTCAGAAAGGAAAAGAGGCATTCCCAACAGGGAATTTTGACTTGCCTCTGAGATATGCTAATTCTTGTAACTAAGAAAAAATCCTTGTTCCCCTAGTCAATATATCTAACATAGCTCAGCTTCAATACCAACTCAAGAAGCTGGCTAACTCTGCTTAGCATTGCCCCCTTCCTTCCCACCATTTCTGCTCCCTGATCAGAGCTGCTATAGCACAGTTTTATGGCTTCTCTATTTAGATAGGTCCAGATACTCAGACCAGAATAATCATTCCAGATAAAGGAACATAGCTGGTTTCCAACTGACTCCTGTACTACCTAGGTACTGACTGTGTGTTCACTTCTGAGTATGTAGATGTTCTGAGCTGAGGGTCAGCTAGCTCATTTCTCTCTGGCCTATTTTCTGAGAAGAAACAACATTAAAAGGACAAGGACAGAATTCAGAATTGAGCTGTGAAGATTCAGCTCTCCAGTTTGTTGCATGCTGACTGGGCTACATGCACACAAAACTTTAAAACATGACAGATCAGTGCCTCACAATACTTGTTATCCAGAAAACACAAATTGTTCTCTTTCTTTACTTTCTGATGATGTAATTATTGCATTCTTGGACAATGTTCAGCTTAGGAACACAGGACTTAAAAGGGACCACTGGAAGGGTGTCTGCATTTAGTTCCACCCTTATTGTAGGCAACTAAGTGAGAAATGTCTTGCTTAGAAGAGTTAATGAAATACACATTCCATGTGGCACTACCTTCCCCCTTCTCCCCCCCCCCCCCCCCCCCCCCATAATTCATTGCAAACTGTAGTAAAATGAAAAATAATATAGCCATAAAAATCACATGCCAACAAAGAAACCAGTAAGTATAACCAGTATTTTTGGATCTTTTGATGATGTAAATTAGATAAATAAGATTTACAAGACATCCAAAAGAGGAAGTCATAGGAAAAGCAAAACAATATAAAACACTTCAAATTTTATCTTGGTATGCATTTCCTTCTGCCTAAATCCTTCTGATAGTTTAAGGATAAGTAGGACCCATCCATTAAGCATTTAAGATTTCAGTGACAATGACACTGTTAATCATTTACACATTTTGGCTGTGTGCAGCCAGTATTTTACTGGAAGACCAAAAATTACATTAAAAAGCTAATTCACGAGCCATGTAATGTAGAGGACTGATAATTATTCTCTCTGGCTTTAATGGAAACAACAAATGACCCTGAAGCATGACATTAAACTCTAATTTCCCAGCTTCTGAACCTGTTCATTCCATTGCCAATTCTCATCAACAAATATAAAAATTGTCATCTGAAAATATGTTAGATCCCTTGTCCCATCTTGTGCTTGATAGGTTCTTCTGGACTTTCACTCCTCATTGCTGTATAATAGTACCTCATCTAAATTCATAGATTTCCAATGTATATCTTCACTTTTTTTCTCCTTTAAGCATGATACGTCATCTTTCTTGCCTTTGTAACTAACTCACTTATAATTAGTGAAAGATAATAAAATCCAGACAACAGAGGGCTCTTACGCCTCTATATGCTTTGCATAAAATAAGAATACTCATACTAATACTTAAGGAGGATATACTTCCATTTGACTTTTTATATTTTTATATATATATATATGTTTATAATCAATAAAAAATATTGTAGAACAGCAGAAATACAGTGATGCTTCATTGACTTAAGCTATACGCTCAATTTCCTTTTTTCAACCATAAAAACACGAGCAGAAACCGTATAATTTAATTCACATTCTTAAGGAAAAATTTTTTTCTTTGATGACATTCATCACAGGGAGGAGTTTCCTCTTCTCAAGGCTTATAGGCTCAACTATAGCAACTGTTGTGAATCTCAGTTGACACCTGAGTTAAATTACATTTAGCTCTGTGTCATTCCAAGTAATTTCTTACTAATAGGGGGTTTAAAATCTGTTCACGTAAATCATCACGAAAGCTTTTAAATTACTCAAGTAATTCATTCATCTCATTCAAGGGATTTATTCAAGTCTTTAGAATCTTTTTTTTAATATTCAAACCAATATGGATTATAATCTGTTTATCCTCTTTGCAATGGCACCTGCAGAACAAGAAAAATATGTCAGCCTTTTCAATATGAAACACACAGTATATCATGCTCCTGTCAATGCTACACATTTACTGTAAGTGAATCCATGTTTTAAGAACAGTGTAAAGTAATGAAATAGCAAACTGCAATTTTGATTCAAGTCTATTACCCAAGATAACACTTGGGCATATTCTGAAACTTTTATTAGCCAGGAAAACAACTTCTTAAATAAGTTTCCATGATTGGGAAAACTTTTTAGCTTCAAAACCAAACACAAGAAGACTAAAAAACATTATGTGGCCTGTGTACAATGTATGTGTCCAATCATTTGGCTTGCCTGGTCCACACTGCGTGAAGAAGAATTGTCTTGGGCCAAACATAAAATACATAATATAGTCAAAGTTTATAAGTAACAAAACTTCTTTTTAAACACACACACAAAAAAGAGGACAACATTAGCAAAATCACTGAGCTGGACATATATGGATTGTGTATAAGAATGTACTGTATACATAAGAACTGCATGGACAGGCAACTGGGTATTTTCACCTTATGTCACATAAAGAACAATAAAACCAAAGTAATTTTATCATAAAAACAAATTCAAAGAAAAAAGATGTGTTTGGGATAAGAAAGATTACTAATTATAGTCTTTTACATCTATATCTTACATAAGATATACAATATCTATATCTTATAGATATTATATATCTAACTATAGTCTTTTAAAAAACTGGACATGTATTTGTACCCTATTATGCCAAAATAACCTCGGCAAAAAAACTCAGTCATCTGCTTTGGCATGTGTTGTATGAGCCTAAACAGAAAGTTAAATGCATTAAAAACACACAAAAAACTATGTTCTTCAGACTGCAGGATTAAAGCCTACTTGCATGATTATTTCTCAGTAACACAAGTTCACACTTAATAATAAGGTTAACATGCATATAATTATTAGTTTTCATTGCTATTATGCTTCCACCACACTATGCTTTCCACAGCTCAACAGCTACTTTTATTTTTCCTTTCACATGAAAAATGCCTAAAACAAAAAAATAGCAAATTAAAGTCAACTGCATAATTCTCAATTTTTCACTTCTTCAAAAACAAATACCAACAAAATACTAATGCTAAGTAGCATTTGGGCGACTATCACAAAATACTACTACTGTGGTGTTTGACAAGAATATTCAAGACAGCTGAAATAAATCTTAGATAAACTTCTTTGTTTATGTGTTTATCTAGAAAATTATGATCCACTATGAACTACAAGTTTTGCTTGGACTTTCTTCTCATTTCATTCTGTTACTGAAAAGACTATGTCATGCTGAATAAATCTAAACAGTAAGCTAACATTATGTTGATTACCACCGATGAGCCAAAATAACAAAGTAAATTGAGGTCATCAGTATGTCAGCGAACTTGACTGTCTTAAAATGTCAACAATAGACATTTTAAGCATACACCGCTTAATCCTATAAGGGCTGTTGTTGAGTAGCATACATTTTCCCAAACAGAATGTCTTTCAGATTCATCTGCACTTTAAACAGTCAAAAGACATGGAGTTTTATTATGCTAAAGACAGTAAATATTTTCCCTTTTTTTGAGGGAGAGTTGAAGTTGCGATCAAAACGATTATGCTTCTCTCTAAAATAGTTACAAAACACGAGACTGATGTGGCTTTTTTCTTGTTAAGAAGTACAGGTGCTACTATGCCAACAAATACAAATAAAGAAGAATTCATTTTATTTTTTACATTTTACAGTTAGAAACCAAATGAATCCATCTCAGGTACAACTGCTGTACAGTCTCATTACTCACCCTCTAGAAACTTTTGCCACAATAGCTAACACTCCTACAGCAGAAATCCAGTCTTTTAAAGAGAATACTAGGATTACAAGTATTGAAATGACTTTTTCTTCTAACAGATTAACTTTTTTTTGAACATAAAAAGAACAGTTATGTTAGTTTATTCAGAAGTTCATTTAACTGTGATCAAAGACAACTGCAACCTGAAAAAGCGTTTGAACATTGAGTAGATGCACATTATTTATTGGAGAAGCGAAATAGTTGCAGGCATTGTTCTTAACCACATTGTAGGGCTACAGATGAAAAAGTACAGGATCAATTTTCTTAACACAAGAACTAGTAGATGTACATCATGACGACACAAATAATTTTTTTAAAATACGCTTAGGGCATAGCCTTTTTCTTAGATTACATAGGCAAGCTAAGGGTTTATACCTGGCTAAATACCAGAAAATGAGACATTAAAAACAAACAACAAAATAAAAATGACAAAAAAACAACTTTGTTTGGAAGATAAATTTATTTTTATCTTTTTAATAATAAAAGGCCATAGACATTTTATCTCTTCTCTCACTTCCAAGAAAAGTGGTATGAATCTGTGTCTGGGATGTTTCTCACAAACGTTGGGTAAGGGTCTATTTAAGGAAGAGATGTTGGAGTAGGTATCATAGAATCACAGAATGGCCTGAGCTGAAAAGGACCTCAAAGATCATCTAGTTTCACGCCCCTGCTATGTGCAGGGTTGCCAACCACTACACCAGGCTGCCCAGAGCCATATCCAGCCTGGCTCTGAACCCATCCAGGGATGGGGCATCCACAACCTATGTAAGTAGGTAAGGCACAGAAGAATTCTAAACTAAAATTCAAATACAATCATATGACATCTACAATTACAGCTTAAAAAGCAAAACCAGCTTAGTAAAAAGCTGAAATACTGCCTATCCAAATGAAAGAACTGTCAGGGACAACCAAAGTGCTGGGAGACCTACCTACAAGTGAGAGACCACTTCCCTCCAACATTGCTTTAGCAGAAAAACCAAAAAGCAGCATTAATCTTCACGTCAATGTGGCACCTTAGGTGCATGAGATTGCCACATTGTGTCTGCTTCTGCTGATGGGGTTTTGACCTGTAACCAGTGACCCTGATGACCACAAAGGAGTTTGTCTGTGTGGAAAAAATGAATGTGGAAATGCTGGTGAAGGAAAGTTGCAACTTCTGCTCACAACTACTCAGAGACAACCAGTTGGTGGTGTATGTTGGAAGGATTCCCTTATTCTCAGGCACACTGGCTTGTTTCTCGAACTTCAGAATGAAAAGAAAGAAATGAAAAGGAACTAGAGTCACACTCAACAGCCGTTAAGAAGAACATAATTGATTTTTATACACCGCTGCTTTCTTCTTCTCTAAACCTACGGTTTTAAGTAGATTTGAGACTCTATTTATAGCTCTAGTAGTAGTTGCACCCCTGTGAATCTCTACGTGGGCACAGCACAACTTTGTGAGAAAATGCTGTCTACACTATCAAAACAGGAGCAACTCCCCAGTCCTCCCAGAGAGCAGCATCCAAAGGGATTAACAAACGAACAAAACTTCTAAAGAAAAAAAAGACAAGCAGAAAATAGTACTTTCCTTGTTTAAAAAAAAAAAAAAGAGAGAGAGAGAGAAAAATTTTTTAAGCGGTCCCTCGGTGCCGCTGCCCACGGTCCGCCCCGCGGCGCCTGCCCTGTGCCTCCCGCTCCACCGCACTCCACCCAGTGGCTGTGCCCGCGGGCGCCCGGCGGCTATTCGAGCTCCGCAGGACAGCACCGCACGCAACGGCCCGGCACCCCCGCCCTGCCCCGCTCCGCCCGCCTTCCCCCGCGGCAGTACCGCTCCCTGCTCCCCATCCGCTCCGGCTGCTGCGCTTGCGCCGCCTCTACGCGGGGCTCGGCTCGCCATGTCGGCTTCTTCCTGTTCCTCCACGGCCGCGCTGCGGCCGGTCACTCACCTCATCTTTGACATGGACGGCCTGCTGCTGGGTGTGTAGCCTTCGTCCCCCCGTCTCCCCCTCCCTCCCCTGCAGCTTCCCGGAGCCCCGCTACAAGGCTCTGCAAAGGGCTGAAGGCGGTGGTGGGCAGCCCAAAACGCGCCGCCCCTCAGCCCAGACGCCTCCCGGGCTGTGGGAAGCAGCGCCGAGCGGTCGGGCTGTCCTCGGTGGCAGCTCATTGCCGGCCTCCTCCTCGGCGAGCAGGCGGGCAGCCTGATTGAAGGGATTAAAGCGACAGGAAACTGTTTTTTTCCTCCTTCCCGCCATTCTCTGCTACTTGTGGCTACATTCTGTCTGATTTTAAAGCTTTAGAGAGCAAGGGGTGCTTGCCCTTAATTTCAGCGTGGCGGTTTGGGAGAGTGGTTGAGAGATTAGCCTGGGGTTAAGGTTCTGCGTTGAGTGCAGAGAGCACGTTTACAGCTATGGGAAGAAGCCGTGGGCTGTGAGACTTCCCAATCTGGAAAGTGCTACGAGGTCCATGAGCATCCTTTGGGCCCTAGCTATTTAAAGAAGTTGCTGTTTCCTGCAGAAGTCTGGAAACCCCTCGCAAATTTTCTATTAGAAGGACTTTATCAGGATCCAGGATCCTGAAATGTCAGCTCTATGCTGCGTTTGAATTGGGTCTTGGGGGGTTTGGGTAGTTAGCATAGCCTTTGTGTTTGCTTTAGCTTCTTGCTGAATAGGGAAGTCGTACTGTGTGCTTCCTGTAGAATCATGGAATGGTTTGGGAGTAGTTGCTGTGTGTTACAGTAGAAGAAGCACCTTTGGATGTGGGTTAATTCTTAATAAATGTTATGTTGATGCATGTGCCTCAAGTGTGTACTGGGAAAGTAAATTACAACTCAGATTGTTGTAGTTTCTAGAAGGACTGCTGTGAAGTCCAGTGAGTTCTGTTTCCAAGAAATGCCTGTTTTTTCCTTCCTTCTCGTGTTGAAAGGACTAACAGAATTACCCTGTTTCCAATAAATAATACTTTATCCATCCTTCACCTTATTATAATGTGGTCAATGTCATTAGTATATCATTGTTTAAAACAAAAATAGTTTTACTCCTATTAGCAGGAGCAGTTACAAGCAATCTTTGGTTTCTTTCAGTTTGTGCCATTTGCAGGCTCAATGCAGTGTGCAAGGCACTGATTAAGATGAGTTGTTTCAGTTTCATTTTCTGGGTAACTACTGGAATCTCAAATAGGCTGAGGGTGTGCTGTTTTATCTAGAAGCAATTAATTTAATTCTTATCTAGAAGCTTCAGGAAACTTTATTTATTTATTTATTAGTGTAATTTTGTGCAGAACTCAACAGAGCAGGGCTGTCTACACAAGCTGTGTGAATATTCAGGCTTTGGTGATATGAATGTGTAAGAATTGTAGATCAGTTTTAAGTGAACTTATTGTGTGCAGGTATTTAAAGGACAGATAGGTTAGCACTGTATTATATTCTGGGATCTAAATACATTTTTTTTTTTTCCACAGATACTATCCTGTCTGTATTTAGAAATTACATTTCTGTAGCATATCAAACAGGGAGGGGAGGAAGATTCTGAATCATATTGAGTGCTCCAGAGTCCTGGGGTTTATATGTTTAAGAAGCATTAAAAATGTTCTAAATTGTGAACTATGCCTCAAGCTGGGAAAGTAAAGTACTAAGAATTCATAGTTTTCAACCTAAGTTTGCCAAGATTGAGGCACTCAAGGTTTAAACCCACTCCTTGCTGTTATTAAATCTGCTTGTTTAAAGTACAGCACCAGATAAATACTTAGTCATTTTCTGGATGGAAGAGTTTATGCATGCTGATAAAATTTATTTTTATCTGTAAAAAATGGGACATCATACACCGCTGAAGTATTTATTGTTACATGTTTTTGCTCCCCTTGTTACTCTTACATTTCATTGAGAATGTAATTTCTTTCATTTACGAAGTTACATAGAAAGAACGTGTTTTATTCTGGTAATCTTTCAGCTAGGATGAAAGCCATAATTGTGTGTAAAGTCAAACTGAAAATACTCTTCAGTGTCTTCCAGTACAGAGACATAAAAGGAATGCCGCCCTGATGATTTTCACAACATTAACCTGCTTTTGGAAAACTTGTGCATTTCAGCCTCTAAATACTTTTTGTCACGTTTAGAGTTATGTGTGACTAAGTTCTATCACAACTTTAAGATATTTTTCAGTGAATGTGTTTGTTCTATAATGATCCATACAAGGCAAAAGGCAGTCAGTCAGACTTCCCCAACATGGGGAGGTCTTACTGACTTCCGCCAAGTCTGAGGGGAGGCCTTGTGGCTCTCTTCAAATACCTAAAAGATGATTGTAGTAAGAGTGGGGTTGGTCTTTTCTCACTGATGACAGATAACAGGACAAGGGGAAATGGCCTCAAGTTGCACCAGGGTAAGTTTGGATATCAGGAAAAACTTCTTTACAGAAATGCTTGTGAAGCACTGGAATACGCTCCCCAGGGAGGTGATTGAGTCACCATCCCTGGATGTGTTTAAAAACCGTTTGGTTGTCTTGCTTAGGGATGTGATTTAGCAGAGGGTTGTTAGAGTTAGGTTGGTTGTTGTGGTTAGGTTGTGGTTGCAGTTGGACTTGATGATCTTTAAGGTCTTTTCCAACCTGAGCTATATATACTGTGATTCTGTAATCCTATAAGATTCTATTCTTTATGCTTTAATAAATTTTGAGTAATTTGAAGGAATGAAAAAAGGGATACACATGATATTTTCTTTTTAGATATTTTCTGCCTATCCAGTATACAGTGAATGTTCTTAATGAGACAAGTGAATGTACTGATGTAAAGTATGTGAGAAATAAAATACCAGTTCTTAATTGTCCTACTTTTTAATGTGATACATAAAATTAATTATTATTATTAATTATTAATTATTGAAGATGTTATAATAAATTATGTATTTCTAGAAGCCACAGAATCACAGAATGTCGAGGATTGGAAGGGACCTCAAAAGGGACCTCATCTAGTCCAATTCCCCTGCCTGGGCAGGAACACCTAGATCAAGTCACATCGGAACTCGTCCGGGTGGGTTTTGAATGTCTGCAGAAGAGACCCCACAAGCTATTGATATCTGCATGAATTATTTTGAATTAGGCAAACTATGTTTTTGGTAACGGATGTCTAAAACTATTTTGTAACTTTTTCAAGTGCTTTCATAATGGGCTACTCTTTTCAGAATCTGAAGCTTTAAATATTGCAATTATTTTCACTCCAAGGTTGTATGTGAAACTATTTGTCTGTTTTTGGAAGCTTTCATCTAAATTTCTCTGATTCTATAAAACAAATATTAATTGATCTATATACAATGTCAAATTGAACGCTGAAGTGATCTAATGTTATTGCTTTCTATAGCTGACATGTGCTTCTCATTGAAGTATAACATAGGAAGATTTGCAAAGTATTTACAAATTTGCATAAGTGTGAGTGTTAAATGAAGTCTAAAGCTCTCACTTGTCTTGATTTGACTTTGGAAACGATCCCAGTGTTCTACCTTAGAACCTGCATCTATATGCTTTATGTAGCTAAAGCTAGGCCTAATGTTGCTGAGTCTAATCTTCTGTGATTTTAACTCCCCCATTGTTTTATCATAATTGACTCTGATTAAGTTGTCCTTGAGTCCCACCTTTATACATCAGCTTACCTTAAATTGTAGTTCCTGAACTGTCTCTGGTTATTTTGGAGTCCAGTATCATTATTTGAAACATTACTTTACACCCTTTTATCAGCACTTATAAGCAGTGTGGTCCCTTTGTCTGCAGTTTTCATTTTGGATTACCTTCTCTTTCGCCTTGAGCTGTTGGATGAAATCAGGTTTTTTTGTTCATCATTCCAGCTGCTGTTGCCAGGAAATTAAAACACTGGAAAACAGTACTGTCACTTAGTAAATAAAATATGTGAACAGTGCCAGTAGACAGCTTGTTACTAAGTAGGTAAAATTAATCAAAGGGTGTTTTTTGTTGTTTTTGTTTTTTTTTTTTTTTTAATAGGAAACTCCAGCAGTACATAAGCTGTTACAGGGTAGACAGTGTCTGTACTGGTATGGTAGATTGTAGATATGCAGCAAGATTTACATACATAGCTTGGAAGTGTTGCTTGCTTCACTGTATAGTACAACCCTAGAGGAACAGGAATAACTACATTTTATTTTTATATATATTCTGCTGAACATTTTTATTTATTTTTTAAAAATCATCACTTTTGTAGATTAAAATTGCTACTTACTTTCCTGTAACAAAGAGGTTTGAATACAGACAGTATATGCTTAAAATTTGCCTAGTAGGGTTTTTTCTCTTGCTTTATACCTTTACTACATAAGACTACAGATCTAACTGCTAATACATAGTATATTCAAAACTACTAAACTTCTGTGCATGCTGTACAGAGTTGACTGGCCAAAAAGAAAAAGTCACAACGGAACAGAAATCATTAGTTGGAGATCTTTGATACCTAATTGAGCACTTTATATAGTTGCATTACGTACTATCTGATACTGGCATTTTAGCATATTGTAAAAATATGCAAAACCAGTGTTGAAGAAGGAGAAAGGTGGTTAGTGAGGGAAAAATAAGCGAGACACCAGATGGTTGTCAATAGGCAAATGCTGTGAGATCCAGTAATAAATAAAAAGAATCAAAATGGTCATTTAAGCATAAGTAGAATTTAGTTAGCATTGTCAAAACATTGCAGGATGATTCATGATTGGAATAGCTAAAGGTATGTGGTTCTATCTGATGCAGAAGCTACTAATGAAAGTAAGAAGGCATGAGGATAAAAAAAAAAACATGCTTCATATTCAGGAATTATGTTATTTTGCTCCTGCAACACTGTAATAGTGGGATGATATATTTAACGAGACAATTCAAAAAGACTATGCTATTTCCTTTGTTTTGGAAAAAACAGATGAGGTAACTCTTATTGAATCATGAAGATGCATTGCAGTTGTCCTTTAGAAGAACAATAAATAACTAAAATTAAGATAGTGT